ATCTGTCCATGGAAATCCGTCGAAAAATCTCTTTCCCTGTCTCCCGAAGAACGACACATGGCAGCCTTACTCGTGGAGAGGTCATTCATAGACCTCAGAGCTCAAGTCACCGTTAACGGCGTCTGCAGCATATCTTCTCAAGAGGTTAAGTGTTTGCTGTGTGATCATGTTAGAGGTCGAGTCTGGTGCGCTGGCCCTCTATCCTTTTCACTCTGGGATGCCCGTACAAAGGAGCTTCTCAAAGTATTTAACATAGATGGTCAGGTGGAAAATCGAGTTGACATGTCATCAATGCAGCAGCAGGATCAAGCAGTAGAAGATGAAATGAAGGTCAAGTTTGTTCCCACCTCAAAAAAGGAGAAATCCCAGGGTACTAGCTTTCTGCAGCGCTCACGTAATGCTATAATGGGAGCTGCTGATGCTGTGCGTCGAGTTGCAACCAAGGGAGCTGGGGCATTTGTCGAAGATACTAAAAGGACAGAAGCACTTGTGCAAACAGGCGATGGAATGGTTTGGAGTGGATGTACTAATGGCTTACTTGTGCAATGGGATGGCACTGGGGCCCGTGTGCAAGATTTTAATCGCCATCCTTGTGCTGTCCAATGCTTCTGCACTTTTGGAACACGGTTATATGTAGGCTATGTAAGTGGTATTATCCAAGTACTGGACCTAGAAGGCAATCTAATTGCAGCATGGGTTGCTCATAATGGTCCTGTGATTAAATTGGCTGTTGGCAGTGATTATGTTTTTAGCTTGGCTACCCATGGTGGCATACGCGGATGGATTATTGCATCTCCAGGTCCTGTTGACAACATGATAAGATCTGAGTTGGCCACAAATGAACTTATTTATTCAAGGCGGCACAATGTCAGAATTTTGATTGGCACATGGAATGTCGGTCAAGGTAGAGCTTCTCAGGATTCACTTTCATCATGGCTGGGTTCTGTCGCATCAGATGTAGGCATTGTGGTTGTTGGTTTGCAAGAAGTGGAGATGGGTGCTGGTTTTCTTGCAATGTCTGCAGCAAAAGAAACTGTAAGATAAGATTTGATTCATTTGCCAGCTTTTTTTAACCATTGAATTTTTGTTTGTGAACTGAAGCTTTGTTTGCTTTACGCTAAAATGAAATGAAAAGGAGAAAAATGACTGCCCAGATTGATAGAATTAACAGGAGTTGGTTTGTATACAATATGATGATACATTGTATCCAAACTGTCTTCCCCTCCAAAGTCCCTAACACAATAGCTAACCTGGCTAACTCAAATAAATTTAGTATACAGTGGGTTGTGTAAATCAGGTTACATCATTATACAATATGTCAATGGTAGGGGATCCATGCCTCTATTAATAGTCAGCTAGTTTGTCAACAATAGAAACAAGGAACAAGTAGAACAGTCAGGCCTGGAGTTTCTTACAAGTTATGAGCAATGTGACTATCTATCAATGTGTTTGAAGCTTTCATGAAAGCTGGGATTAGCTGCTATTTGGGAGCAGATTGACTATCACATATAACAAAGTTAGTGAGAGTGAGATAGACGGCATGCAGAGATATTTGACGAGATACATGAGCCATTGGAGCTCAAACTGTGGATGCTAAGGCACTATACTTAGCTTCAGAGGAAGACTAAGATAATATTGATGGTTTCTTTTGAGTGCCAAGATATGAGAAAATTCCTTGGAAAATTCAGTGTGACTGATTTTCTAATATCCATACAAGCCCAATTCGGATTAACAAATGCCTTAAGTTTCAAAGGAAAATTGGCGGAAAAGAATAAACCTTGAGTTGGGCTGGAGGATGTTTGATGTATCTGAGTACATGCAGTGCTGCCTGATAACGAAGGAATGTAGGATAATCTGCCAATTGTTGTACAGTTAAGCTTGTGTCAGGTCTGCTGGTGGTTAAGTACAATAATCTGCCAAGGAGCCTGCAATAAGCACTTACATCCAGATAGGGGAATCCTTCTCGCAACTGCAATTTCGTGGTTTTAACTATTGGTGTTATAGCAGATTTGGCAGCTAGGAGACCATAATCGGAGATAATGTCTAAGGCTTATTTTACATTGACAAAGAGTGATGCCAAGGTAGGTATGAGTTATTTCACGACCTGGGAAGTACTTGAGAGTACCTTGTTGTTTGATTCTCTTCCAATGCAACTAGTTCAACTTGCATATCTTTGATCTGATTCTCATATTAAATTGCTTGGTTATAGGTTTCAGGTTTGACATAATTACATGAGAAGAGATGGATAAAGTGTAATGTAAATGAGGAGATATAGTCATATAATAATACTAAAGAAAATGTATAAGGGGTACTTTAGGATTAATATGCTACATTGGAAATCCTTGAGGTATGAGGAATGCTTCTTGAATCTTGACTTGCTGAGATTTTGTAGTAGAACAATGAGGAATATTAGAGAACTTAGAAGTGGGAGTTCTAGATCGAGTGGTTGGTGTTGAGGAAGAAATAGGTGTGGTGGTGTTTGATTGAGATCAAAATTGAAGAATAGAGAAGTGTCAGTCAGGATGATGGTGATGGAAAGGGGAGATGTAGTAGATACATGCAGTGCAAAAATATGTGCTCTTAGGAAAGTAAATTACTAGAGGTGGAAATTTCTCTAGAGTATAGGTCATGCAAAATCCATCCTTTAGTGCCTTGCTTGAATTTGGGCTCTTTGATCTAACTTGGTTCTGTGCTGAGCAAATGCTGATGGAAAAAAGAGACAACCAAATACTTTAAGGTCAAGCAAAGTTGGGGTTTCATGATGCTAAAGCCTAAAACACGTGTTCAATTGAAAGAGAGGATTCTATTAATTTGTTTCACAATAATTACATTCTTCTCTTATCCTATTATAGAGATACATTTGTCCCTAAAACAAGTAATTATGAAAATAAACAAATATAAAGGAAATAAGGAATAATTGTAAATAATATCAAATCTCCTAAGATATTCCTATTCACAACACTCTCCCTCAAGTTGGTAAATAAATATCTATCAATCCCAACTTGCCTATTAGCTCTTGGAATCTACTAGTAGGAAGTCCCTTAGTTAGTACATTTGTCACTTGGAATCCTGTAGGGACGTGAGCTATATCAATAGGACCATTGTCTAATTTCTTTTTGATGAGGTGTCTGTCTATCTCAATATGTTTGGTCTTGTCATGTTGAATTGGATTGTGAGCAATGTTAATGGCTGACTTGTTGTCACAAAACAACTTCATAGGTAACTCTATTTTAATTGTAAGATCATCAAGAATAATCTTCATCCATAGCCCTTCACACATGCCTTGTGCCAAGGCTTTGAATTCAACTTCTGCACTAGACAGAGCAACTACATTATGTTTCTTATTCCTCCAAGTCACCAAATTCCCTCTCAAGAACACGCAATATCCATAAGTAGATCTCCTATCTATGATTGACCTTGCATAATTTGCATCAATATAAATCTATGTGGACATTGTGTCTCCACTTCTTAATGGTAATCCCTTCCTTGGACTTGACATCAAGTATTGAAGGATCCTGTTAACTGCTTGCATATGCCTTTCCCGGAGGTCATGCATGAACTGACTAACTATACTCACAACATAAGTAATGTTTGGTCTAGCGTGTGATAGGCAAATTAGCTTTCTTACCAATTTTTGATATTGATACTTTTCTACTGGCGGACTTTCTTCACTTCCAATTTTGTGATTCTGTTCAATTAGAACTCTTGAGATCCTGCATCCCAACTTTCCTATTTCGTTAAGAAGATCAAGGACATATTTTCTTTGAGAGATAAATATGTTGGAATAAGCAACTTCAATTCCCAAGAAAATACTTCAGCTTCCCCATGTCTTTCATCTCAAACTGTGTTGCCAACTTCTTTTTTAGGGTCATTTTTTCTTCTTCATTATCGCTTGCAATGATCATGTCGTCTACATAGACTGAAAGTATTGTGAGATTGCCATTACGGGGTGTGTTTTATGAACAAAGTATGATCACCTAGACTTGTATCCCAAGGAAATCATTATCTGGGTAAATCTCCCAAACCATGCTTGTGGAGACTACTTAGTCTATACAAGGCCTTTTTTAATCTACATACATTGTTTTCTTCATCTAAAGCTCCAAATCCTGGGGGGGATTTCCATGTAAACTTCTTCTTCTAAATCTCCATATGGGAAGACACCTTTTACATCAAATTATTGCAAGTCCAAACCGAAATGATCTGCCAAGGAAAGTATATTCATCTTTGTCACAGGTGCAAATGTCTTCTCATAGTCTATCTCATAAGTCTGGGTGCACCTCTTTGCATTGTAGATGACATATCCTCATAGTCTATCCCAAAAAGTTGGAACTACATATTCAAGTTTGTAGTGAGCTTTTGTATAGAAATAAGTCTGTTAGCCAAGAATATGATGTAAAGAGTGAAAGAAAGGGGTCATGTCATCCGTTGCTCTAGAATCAAGAATTCAAACTCTCTAAGATACGAAGCCAAAAGTATTTAAAGAACTCTTACGCTTCATGGACAATGTACATGAGCCAAATGGCTTACTCATAGATTCAATCATCATTCTTAGATGAACGATCTCTTCCTTACATGCTTTAATATCATTGGGTTGGTGGATTTGTTTCCTCATGTTCTAAAATTGTATGATTGACCCATTTATGTATAGTTCCTTTGTTTCCACCGGTGCGTTCAAGAATTTTGTCTCTCTCATAAAGCTTGAAGCATGTCTCTTTAGAGTGTCCTGACCTTTTGCAATACTAGCAATATTCTCCATGACTCCTTTTCAGGAAAGGCGTTCTTCCAAAAATTGATCCTTTGTAGGATCATTTTCCTATTGTCATAACCTGTGTTGGAGCATCCCCTATGAAGCATGACTACTCTTCAAATTTCTTCACCTTATACAGTATAAAATACTTCAGATAGAGAGGGAAGTTTCTCTTTCCCAGATCGGAAG